GCAGGTGATTTCGTGCCAAATTCCAGGCTAAGGCAGTGGTCAAGACTTGGGTTTGGGCAACTGTTTGAATTACGATTATGTCAATGAGAACGGATAACCTTCATGGAATTTTGCCCAAGGACATCTGTACTGCTAGAGAGCACCCATTACCTTGTCTTACTGAATTTCACATGACCTTGAAGTTGGAATTCGAAATTATAAAAAAAACTGGGAAGCTTTATGGTCCTTGATCAGTGCTCATGCTGAAACATAATACCCTAGCGTTCTGTATAATATGTGCCTCTGTGCCGTTCAGTTATCACACAAAGGTTTGGCATTAGATGACCTTCGGTTTCGTGACAGATATATCCTAAAGTAGACGACACTTTCAACCCGCCTACTTGTTCTAATATCACTTTCCAGATATGCGTGAGAATCAACGCAAAAGTGAATATCTTTTTTATTGAATAACTCTACATATTCCATGGAGGCAATGCATTCCATAAATAACCGTCTAAATTATTTTCCACACTTGGGAAATTCCAATAGATCTCAGATTTTCGGAGTGTTCTTATCCGTAGACAGGTAGTTCTCAGATTCCCATCTAAATGGGAAACCCTCAGTTTTAAGTGATTCCCCTGTCATTCTTCTCACCGACACTTTTCAACTAGACGACTCCCTTTCATAATTACTTGTATCCGTCAACAACAGGCCTCCAGCCCAATGAGTTCGTTAGAATTGCGCGTATCGTACCATACAGGACGTTGGAAATATCAGAGCCAACGGCATTGAGCATACTTGCTCACCAAAAACAATTCAGTCGAGCGGAGAAGGTAGTCTTTGAGTCGGAAAGGGCAGACAATGGCTAATGTTTGAAGACAGCGACCGAAAGTAAAATAAGAAAGGACAGCGAACTCAATTTTTGGTATGGTGTCACAATAGGTTTTACACGTCAGATCTAGTATATTTGGACACAGTGATTTGGATCCTCGGAATTTCAGGGCGGCGTAGCTCTTGCTTTAGGGCAATGGAGGTTAGAGGACGTATGCTAGACTACATATTTACTTGCCAAAAGCACATAAAACCGGAGTACCTCTACGTTCCATAGTCTCCTTACACGGCACCTTGACCTTTGGACTGTCGTAATAGCTTTACCAACGATTCCATTTCCTGACCGAATATTCCGAATAGACGATGAAATCGGCTGAGCAGTTTTTGAGGAGTATCAGACATCTAGAAATAGAGCCAGACGAGAGGATGGTATCGTTTGATGTGGCCTACTTATTCACCTCCAATCCAGTAGACCTTGTCATCAGCACCACTGACGGGCTGCTTCAGGAGATGTACGATAAACTGATCAACAGCTTGAACGAACACACGTCATAGAACTCCTGGAATTGTGCCTCAGAACTTTCTTCACTTTCAACAACCTGGTTTGCGAGCAAAAGAAGGAATCACCCATGGGCTCCCCGCTGTCTGGCCTGATCGCCAGGGCTGTTCTGCAGAGGCTCGAGCGACTGGTCATCCGTTCGTACTCCCAAAATTCTGGGCCAGATACGCCGACGACACATTTGTCGTAATCAAGAGGAACGACGTTCAGCAATCCAAGGTCTTGTTGAACTTTATATTCCCCGACATCCAATTCACAATGGAAGAGGAGAACAACAACCAGTTGCCCTTCCTTGACGTAAACGTCACAAGGAAGGCTAATGAGGAGATCATAACTACGGTATACCAAAAGGCAACGAATAGTAGACGCATCCTCCAATTCCTGAGTAACAACTCCATTGGTCACAAACGTAGTTGTCAGAGCTCTTTTCCGACGAGGGCTAGATCGCAGTTGGGGCTATTTTTTGGGGTTCCATAATCACATGTGACCCATTTGGCTTTCCTTTTACGGTTAAGGTTAGGATTAGGGTACCGGTTAATAGTTTCCGATTTTCGGGTTATGGTTATGCCTTTAGGCTTAGGTTTTCGAGGTACGTTAGGGGTTTGAGCGTAGGATTAGGTTTCAGTATTACGGTTGGGTTTACCAGTTAAGGCTATGTCTAAGGGCTACGGTGCCGCTTACGATTTCGGTTAGGGTAAGGGTTGCCGTTAAGGTTAATAGTTGACATTTAAGGTTAAGGTTAGGGTTAGGGTCAAAGTTAAGGTTGGGAGTAGGGTTAAGGTCGCCGTCCGCTTCCCCATTCCTGGCTACCAACTACAGTCTAGACGAAATTTATGATGGGAACCATTTGTGGTACGTGGACCCATATACTTGCGTGTGTGACACAAACTCTACAGGCTCCTGTTATTCACAATGTCTACTTTACTGATAAAACTTAATCATATACCCACGGTTTCGTTTAAACAGAAATGCTCAGCGCAATTTCCGCACGGATGATCGTGACGCCCGATAAGAACTGAAAGAACCTGCGGTGTGCATGTTCTTCCCGCTGTCTACACAGTTGATTGTGGAAGTCCTTCAAAAAGCCACGTACTTGCAAATTTCCCGATATAAGTACGTTCGCATCCTAGGTAAAAATTTGAAAGATTACCTCCTCGCCAGCAGTATAAATTGACGTTTCGGTGTTTTTATGGCATAAGCAATGATTGTTCCTATGTGGACGGCACAATTCGATGGACAACCGAACACCCCAAACGTACTATTGCATTTCCCTATGAAATTCATCGAATCCGCTGGAAAGGTGCTCAGTCATTTGTTAAAATGTTTTCAGGTGGGAATTGACATTTACCATGTTACCTCTTGGTTGGTAATGCGCACATAGCACATTTAAAACTTTTAGTCCAACTTTTAGGAGTATGACACATTACTCCCTGCAGTTAGAAGCAGGTGAATTTTAAGTTTAAAAACCCTTGTTGAAACGAATTCGGAAGCTGTGAATTCCGCCTTTCACAGAGTAAGTGCATAGAAAACGAAGTAAACTTGGAAGACGTCAACCACGTCCTAGTGGGGCTACCTTACCGTATAGGTCTGTCGACGGGTAGCTCTAAGGGATGTTTTTGTGATAACATCTTCTTCTTAAATGCTTCAACAAACGGGCCTCTTCGCTTCATTGGTAAAAGAATCCTTATCAAAGTATGTATCAGCAGAGCTCTCTAAGAATCGCTTTTGGAAGTGAGTAGCAAAATAAAGAAGTGCGATACTTCCAAGAAGCACTTTGTGGACAACTTTGTTTACCATGAAACGGTCTTATAAGCTCTCCGCTTATCAGACTTACCTCAATTTTCTCTTAGAACATATGTAAATCTTGGCAAGGGTAGGCTGAGGAACTCCACTTGACTGCCAGCAGACTGTGGATTGTGTCATTTGGAAATGGTGACGGCCGGTGTTTTACGGGCAGGTCAGAACACCAGACGGTAAGCTGACGAAATGCCATAAAACACAGAAATTGTTTGGATTTCTGTTAAGAGTCTTATCGTGCTCCTTCCTATAGCAGCAAAAATGAGCGCGTTAATCAAAAAAGCAAGCTAGAAGCAACTTTCAAAAAATAACGGAGTTTTATTAATGGCTTGAAGTCATGGGAAGTAGTCGTTGTTGGCAGTGTAATGTCTGAGACGGCCTGCTAATGGATGTCAAGATAAAACCCCATATGACGCAATTCACAGTCTACTGGCAGTTAAGTAGAATCCATCACCCTACAGTTGCGTACAGTTTTAACTGAGTAGACACCTGCTGTGAATATTCGCATTTTATCATTCTGTGAAGCTCACAAATATTTGCATTGCAGTGTAATTAAGTACTTATTTCATTTTAACAACAACTTTCCATTTGTGCCAGCATGTGGGAGTTTCTCGCCTTTTTGGTTTCACTGGACCTCGCTTTCAAGAGAACGAATGTTGTCTTACTTTTTTCGTTCCAGCTTGCACAAGTTGTCTTTCGGTTCTGAGAAAACCTCCTATGGGAATAATTACATCTGTGAAAGGCGTATTTTGAAAGGTTTTGAACCACCGGAAATGTGCTGTTCATGTAAGTCATTACGAGGAACCAAAACCCTTACCTCCTGTTAACAATAGATCTTGTTGCGACGCCGAATTCTGTATACAGTTTATTGTATCAAGACTTCTGAAAGGAATAAAAACAGTGCGACTCTTTCGGTAAAGTACATTGCTTTCTTTCTTATATATCGAAGGAAAGAACGAATACATTTGGTTTTCGTCTTCAGAATGATGTAACAAAGGCTTTTTTGACTAACGCGTATTGAATAACTGAAGATGGTCTCTCGAGAGCACATTAACTGGTGAATTCAACAAAATAGGGTTTTGCTGATAAAAGCGAACAGGCGAGTTCCAGGAAGCAGTTCAGATGAAGAAGAAGAAGAAGAAGAAGAAGAAGAAGAAGAAGCGATCACTGGGATAAGAAGTTTAGTGGCCTGACCTTTCGGATTCACACTCGAACCGTCATGGGGCCAAAAGACCCTCGGCCATGGCAGGAAACGCCGGAGGCCGTTCACCGGATCTGGGGCAGTTGCGGACAGAACAACTACGTCCGAGAATCCGGGAGATTACCTCAGACGCGCATGACTGAGCATGCAGCAGCGGTGAGGAGGAAATACGCCAGCTCTTATGTGCAGCTCATTCCGCGGAAACCGACCATATTGTCAGGTTTCAAGAGGAAGAAATCCTTTCAAGAGCTGGTGATCGCATGAGTCGCGAGCTTCTCGAATCAGGCCCGCAATCCATCAACAAGCCCGATGACCTACCGGCACCATATTCAGTGCTGAGACATTACTTGGGCAGGGAAATCAGTCACGTGAGGAGGGCGCGAGCACTCAGCTATCCTGGTGACAGCAAGCCAAATTCCTGAGTAGTCATCACGTCAACATCCGACACCAATGATGAAATTGCGGCAATTAACGCCTCCGACGGGTACTAACGAGCCATCGTTGCCTTAATTAAGATCCCAACTGTGATCGCCGGAGCTGTTAATTATATTAACATTTGGTCCCCCGGCAGCCACGTACCATAAGTACTGCAGTCTATTGTGCCTCAATCACCCTTATCTGCCACCGTCTCTGATGATTGATTGGAGGGAGAATCCGGAACGTCAGGCCAACAAGCCTCTTGTTCCAATAATCGCTTCTTCTTCTTCTTCTTCTTCTTCTTCTTCTTCTTCTGATGATGATGATGATGATGATGATGATGATGATGATGATGATGATGATGATGATGAAATAGAATTTCCATACAAGTTGACAAAGCTGCCCCAGGCGATTGCTTGGAGAATGTAATTTAACCGAAATTCTTATACCTCGACCGTTTCAAATGACAAACTCCATCCCCCTTCCAAGGGTCAGTCGTCAATGACTTGCATTTAAGATTGTACATCTACCTCATTCTCCCTTCTCACACGCCAACTGACAAAGCTGGATAGCCTGCCAAGCGTGCAACGTACCACCAGAACTAATACTCCACGCATAATTTAGTTCATACAGAGATGTCTCGGATTTAACGCAGGTGAGAAGTGCCTCAAAGCTTTTACAAACTGACCCTCACTTCTGCGTAGGAAAGAGCTATCCCGCCAAGCTAGGAAAGCAAGCTTGACGGGGTAGATACGAACGCATCAGATCTTTTATGCCTTCATTTACTGTGAAGATAAATTGCCCCCAGTGTCAACCTCGTTGGTAAGGGTTTGTTAGAGTTTATAAAAAGTTTTTCATTATAAGATTTTTAAGACTGTGCAATGTCCATTCTTGCAGCATCGAACCTGTCCGTATACCAATGCCTTTCCATGTAATGTACAACACAGTCGGCATCCATTGCACGATTTTATAAACTCTGCACAACATCTTCTTAAAGAGAGAAGAATATATGGTTTCCTTACGCGGAAAGCATGCACCTTGTAGAGTGAAATCGCTGGACGCTAATGCAAAGGCTGATCAGACTCAAAATTATTCGGGAGTTAAGAAGCTTGGGACGCGTACAAACGAACATAAACATACGTGACCCTTTGTAACTCGCGTTTGCGTGCGCCCTTTAATGAGACCGGCGTTTCAATTGAGAAGGAACTGAAGGTGGTGCCATGGCTAACACCCAACAGGCACGAGATTTCATCGAAGCCTGGCACTCTAACACGTCCAGCATCAATCGTCATGTCGATCTGGACGCTCATTACGAAGGTCTGCGTGCTCGGCTCACTGACTTGCGCCCACGAACTACCAGCAGCCACTAATCCATACTGGGTCACGTGGAGTTTCATTATTTCGCCGCCCCCTTCCCCAGACAGCGAACCACAACTGCTGTCCCCAACACCACCAACGTTAGCGCACTGACCTCTGTCCCATTCCAAATCAACGGCCAGTGAGACCCCTGCGTGCAGCCCCATTTGATGCCTTCCCTCGTAGCCTCCAGCACGGGGAAGCGCAACAGTTCCCCCTTCCCTCCTCCGCCCAAGATCATAGGCTAAATATGTGGCCACCCCCTTTCAGACACTAGCTGCTTGTCAATCCGTGGCTGTGCTGTCGCGCCTACCAATTTAGTATGACCATTTCACACCGGGTTTGTTGGAACAGCTCGAAAATTCACGCGTACAACTCTATTTTTTTCGATGAACTTCCTATCTTCATCATATCCTCTCAGAATTCACACTGCCTCAGTTATATAACAAAGTGATGCGTCAAAGGAAGAAGAGGCGTTCACCGGGAGGGGTCAATTGGAGGTCCGACGTTTCGAGTAATTGATTCGTCTACCCAGCTTCACAGACTGGAAGGACCTGCGCACAGCTCCCCTTATAATGGCGCCCTTTGTTCACTGCGTGACCCGCCAATGCCGCATGTGTGGCTGCATCCAAACCGCATGTCATCGTGACCTGAATCTCCCCCGTCGGCCGCGAAGATGACTGACGACCCCGATTGTCCCGCGCCGTAACTGTCCCCCCTTAAGAAGGTTCGTGAAGTCAGATAAGGGGAAGGCAATTTGATGTGGCGGTAGACAGAGCAGTCGGTGGACATCCAGGCTTCTTGCACTTTCCTTGCTGGATGATCACCGCCCCGGCCCACAATCTCAACGACCTCAAAGTTGAAGATGTGTCCCATTTGCGCGGCATGAGTTGCTACCTCCGACTTTGGGATCAAACTTCGCACGGCGATTCAGGTCACGGTGACATGCGGGTTGGATACAGACACACAGCCGGCATTGACGGGACACGCATTGAACAAAGTGCGCCATATAAGGGGATCTGTATGCAGGACATTCCGGTCCCTGAAGAGTGGTAGACGAATCAACTACCCGAAACGTCGGACCTCCAATAAATCACTCCCGGCGAACGCCTATCCTTCCTTTGATATGCCACCTGGGAATCGCATTTTTGCTACTATTAAATTGATATGTTTACTTTTGCACTTGCCTGCCCTATTCTAATTTTCTGGTCACCAATCGACCTGTCAGCATGTGGCTCTTTGAAAACTATTATTCCTGTGCCGTTTCTATCGGGGATGTCAAGCAAAACCCCGTCTGTCTTCGTCATCCGCATCGCAAACAATGTGGAAACGAAACAAAAGTGCGATTAGGGTGTTATTTGCGCAGAGGCGAGGATTTTTGCAGATCGATAAAGAACAGTTCGGAAAAACCTATGGGGCATTCGTCCGGTCTCACTTAGAGTATGCAGTCCAGGCCTGGCGACCGTAGTTGACGAAAGACTACCAATAACTGGAAAGAGTACAGGCGATGGCTACGAAGATGGTCAAGAATCTTCATCATCTGCCTTACGAAACCAGGCTGACAGAACTAAATCTGTTTCCTCTAAATTACAGGCAACTGCGCGGCGATTTCATTCAAACATACAGGATTGTCAGAGGCCGCGAGTGCGCCCTAAACTTTAATAAATTCTTCGAAATGGCCAGGACTGACCGTCTGCGTGGTCACCCCTTCAAACTGCAGAGGAAGCTGGCTCATTCGGACGTCCGACGGAACGCCTTCTCTCACAGGGTCATTAGGGCATAGAACGGACTCCCTGAAGCGGTGGTTCGTCCCGAAACTGTCGAATCATTTAAGTGTAGACTAGATGCTCATTTGCTGAAAAACTACTGTAAATATAATTACGATTGTTTCAGCAGCGGCAGTTTGCGCCTGGCTCACACTTGCCGCTAACTTTTGAATTTCCGCATTTGCTGATGTAATTGATGACTTTATTTCTGTTTACCGATATGACTAGGGAGCTCGAGGGCAAAAGCCTCATTCCCTTAATAAACTGACTTAAACTGGCCTACATAATTCCCGTTAAGCCGCTTTTTAATCTATACACAAAACGTGGACTGTTGGTCAATCGTCATAGTAGACATTAAGCTTATTCTTGGGAAATATTTCAGTGCAAAGTTTATCGTACTTGTGCTTCCTTATATACTCCGATTTTTATGGGCAGATCGCATGTGCACCTATCACTTAAATTTCCTCATTCACAAGATTTCAAAGGTTTTCAGAATCTCTAATTTTCTAAAAAGTTTTTTATTTCTTGAAAATGTAATATTAATTTATTATTTTGCTTGAATTCGTGCAATATTCATTCGGACTTTTGGTTTATTCGCTCCTGCTGATCTACATGTGCGTAGCAATGTTTCGCAAATTTTGGCACATTTCGTAGGGTCGCAAATTTTCTCCATATGTAACCATATTCTGTTAAATATGCATTTATATTGGCGTTCATATTCAATATTTCCCAAGCCGCTAACCCTTCAAATACGTTATTACGACGTGTTCATCTGAAGCAGAGCTGCATTTTGCTGTGGTTTTTTGATAGGCTACGATTGAAAATGACCCTCCGAGTTAATATGAAACTGTCGTGTAATTCGGCAGTTCTGCATAGGTTGAAGTTGTTACTCTAATTTTGCCCTAACATTACGTGGGTAGAGAAGAGTGACCCTGCCCCCAATTTCTAAGTTCTGTCAGAAAGATGAACTTTTTGGACACCTACATCGCTGCATAATATGCCAATTTGCTGCCACCTCAAAAACGAATGATGTTTGACTTTTAAGCACTTCGAATTGCAAGCTAACTGCACGACTCCACACAGGGCGGGGCTTCCAGAAAGCATGGTATGAGATGGTTGTCTGACATTCCTCTGTCACGCTGGTCTACCTCATCAGTGGACAGCATGTCATTCTCGTCCTGGAAACCAGGAGGCTTAGACAAGGACTTGGCGCTGTTTTTGTAAGCGACCGCCAAAGTACATGCGAGATGTTTATCTTTCCCAACATTCCGCCCCAAAAAGGTCCGATTATTGCCCGTCTTTTGCATTCTCTCGAATTATGATTTGTGGCATTAAGAATCTTCACTTCCAGTGGCTGTTCGATCGCGCTCCATGCAATGGGTGCGGCACCGGCGACCAGCACGTGAATTTGTTTATCGTGAGGCAGACTCTTGCCGTGACAAGACACCGTCAAGTCGACTGGAGGCAAAAGCAGGGGCCTATGTACGCTCGCGCCGCACGCGATCTTGTCAGGATTCTGGAAGGATAACTAATTTCCCACGTTAGAAGGTATCGCAAAGATCACACTGAGAGGAAGTCACCCCGTTCTAACGAGAGTAGTGTAACAAGGACCAGTGAACCAGAGATGATTCCAGCGTCTGGTAGTCGATAAAAATGCCTCTTTTACCTTTTGTATAGTAATGTCTGAATAAATTATTTAGTTCCGGAAATACACGACCGATTGACAAGGGTAACTAACAATGTCCTGGTTTAACGTGTAAGTGCAATGTGGGCATTGAAAGAAAAGTAAGCTAAAGGGGGATGCTGAAATCGTAAGTTAGGAAAGTAGTCGAGGCTGAAACGTAAAAAGGCAGCTTGATGTATGAAAAATCAGCCGCGAGGTTAAAGAAAGTTTTAAATCCCCGCAAAAGATCTGGCTTACAGAACACTCGGAGCAGTAATAATCCCAAACTTAACGGTTAACCTGATTGAAACTTCAAAAGCAAACCTAATCCTTGACGTGGTTGCAAACCTAGAGATAACCCTACGCCTAACAATAAGCCTTACCTTAAGCTGACCACAAACCTTAGCCGTAACCTTAAGCGTAACATTAAGCCTGACTCAAATCCAAACTCCAATCTTAACCTTAACTCAAACCCTAATCCCAACCTTAACCGTAACGCACACACTAAACGGAAACCAAAACCGCAATCCAACCCGTAACTCTAATCAGAACCCTTAAACGTAATACAAAACCCTAACCCTTACCTCACTTCTCAGCCAGACACTAACCTAAATCATAAAACTAGCCCTTCCACCAAACTGAAA